AACGTAGTTCCAGGCAGCTCTCTTGACCGCATTACAGTTCCATATCACTTCGCATAGTTAACTGTAATAACGGAAATTAGCATACAGTACCTATACAGCACACAGGAATTACTGCAATCACACGTGCTCGCACACGCACACTACGGTCATGCAGTTTGCACAAAAAGGTGTTGTCAGCGCTGCCATGACGATTTTATCGGTTAGCCTATATAGTGTAGCAACTTAAAGGCTACACATGACATTTCTCACTAGCGAGGTAATAACAGCGCTGTTTAGAGACGCTGCTGCAGAACACTGTTGAGGGACGCGCAGAGGTAGCCTAATTCACACAAACTCTCTCTCTCTCGTTTTCTTTCTCTTTCTCTGTGTGTCTCTGTCTCTCTCGCTCTCTTTCTAATAACTTCATTAATAACTGCATTCGAATGCTATCAACGGCTCAAGCCTCCATTACCAGCTTTAAAATTACGTTTTGGAACTAGCAAAAGAGGCGTTGTATGAGATGCGGAATAAATATTCCTACTCACAATAGCGATTTAAGTACAAAAATCGGACGAATCCCTTTAAATATATCATCTGATGTCTTGAGGTGTGGTAACCGTAGTATAAGCGGAATAATTGACTCCGGGCCATTGAATTATTAGAAAAATAATGCACACCCGAGGTGTAACGGCCACTCCGCGTAATTCAACGGCCCGTCGTCAATTATTCCTTACTTTATTTATAATAAATTAAAATAATTCAAAATATTGAGTAAAGCATTATACCCCTTTTCTCTCCAACCGTTCCACTCACCTATTTAGCCTAATATAAATAAATGAGGAGTAACCACCAATGCATGTACGTTTTGAAAACATATAATGTAGTTTATCAAATTTGCCCTGGAACTGTAAAAATATTTACTCCAAAAACCGAACTATTTCAGTAAAATAACAGTAGCCTATGTTTACATTTTTTGTCAATACAGTTTAAAGAAGCCGTGAAGGTGAAAAAAGGTGAAGTTTTGTTATTTTCACCTGTTTCGCTTTTCTGTAATTTCCATTTTTTCTTCAAACGCTAACATAGTAATACCAAAAAAAAAAAAACTGCCGTATATTTAATATTAATATTTTAGATTTAAATATAAATATAAAAAATGACCAATAATTAAAAAGGTAGAAAAAATATGGAAGTTAAGAAAATGACACATATTCTGAAGGCGTCCGTTTAAGTGGTCCCAAATAATCTTTACAAAATCCGAATAAAACTATGTTAAATCATGGTCATTTTTGCGCATTAAATTTTCCGTTCACGCACCAGCTCGGGCAGGTAGAGGATGTCCGGTACGGTGGTACAGATCCGGAGTCCGCTGGGCAGACTCGACATCTGCTGCGTGGCTGCTGCCATGGTCACGCTCCCGCTATCCTCTAGGAATGAGTGGACTAACGGAGCCACGGGCGCGTCTTTTCAATGTCCACTGGAGACTTGAAAAACCTGCTCTTCCATTACTGAAACTTCCGTGTGGACACACCCTCCGTGAGGGGAGCAGCGGGGCTGAGCGGGATGTGAGTTTGAGGAATGCAGTCTTGTTTATGTGGGTGCATGCATGTGTGGCCACAGGACAGGTTGATATTGAACAGGTCAGTCATCTCAGGTGTTCGCAAATACAGACACACTCGACTGTGTTTGTGGAAGGGAAGATGTTTGCCGAGTGAATAAAGTGGGGTCAAAAACAGTAGGGCTGTGATACAGTGTAATAGGCCTTTTTCACAGGTTATCTGGTTTTAGCTGGTCATCCAGCCTGGTCAGAGCAGGTCAGCAGGCTGGTTTTAGAGGGGATTTGACCACTTCTTTAGCTGGTCAGGCTGGGAGACCAGTCTGACCAGCCTAGCCAGGGCGAGAAACCAACTAAACCAGCTACTTTCATCTTAAACCAGCTAAGACCAGCCAACCATCTTAGGCTGGTTTTAGCTGTTTTTTGTTTTTTTTCAGTATGAGATAAATGAGAATCTGCCTGCAGCTGCTCACATTACTGCTGGAGGAAAACTTGGAATATATACACCATTTTAATTAAATTTTTAATGTTATTATTTTTTATTATTGCACCATGTGTATTATGATTAATCTCCAATCTTGTCGACAGTATAATGCTATCCAGTCACTGCGCTCAAACCCAGAGGATATGACATGTTTAAGATGGTAAAACCAGTTATTTTTGAATAATCGACTCTAGGCTGAAAAATATAAATTTATTTGAACAGCCCCAATTGTATATAATACGTGGTGATTGTATCGCAAAGTAAAGTAAGTGCTTGAAAGCAATGCTAACATTATTATTGTTTAATTTGTAGTCTTTAATTGTAGTTTCTTTAATAAAAAAGCTTGTCTGGCTTCAAGGGATAGTTCACCCAAAAATGAAAATTACCCTATGATTTACTCACCCTCAAGCCATCCTAGGTGTATATGACATTCTTCTTTCAGACGAATACAATCGGAGTTATATTAAATAATGTCCAGGCTAATCCATGCTTTATAATGGGAGTGGATAGTAGCCCAAAATTTGAAGTCCAAAAAATTGCACCCATCCATTTTAAAAGAAGTCCACACAGCTCCAGGGGGTTAATAAAGGCCTTCTGAAGGGAAGCGATGCGTTTGTGAAAGAAAAAT